CTATGCAAGAGACAAAGCCAAAACTAGCCTCTGATCTCCTGATTCCCCACCCAATTTCCTTTTCACTATTGCTATTGCCTGATTTGGAATGTTAAAGCTGGTCTGAAAGTCCATAAGCCTCAGCAGGCAACTTAATATGACATAACAAAACCTCAGTTAAATTACTTTGAGGATTTTTTTTCTTAGACCTTGGTTATAATTCTAGCTGTGGTGCTAACTAGCTTTGATCTTGGGTAAATCATTTGCCTCTGACACCTTTTTACATTTTTATTCAATTTATTTCTTTTGTTAAATTTGCACATAAATATTTTTTATCTCCAAAATTAAATAATTTCTTCGAGGGTGGCAATGTGGATAACATATGGACATTTTGCCACTGATTGTTTATAATACCCAAGAAGTTTCTCTGTAAAACGGTGTCAAATTAATGAATATAAATAGTGAGAACCACTTGCTAGAAACAAAACGAAGTGTTGTTTAAAAACACAAACAGAACCTCAATTGTTTACATTATCCTAGGCTACCGGGGAAGCTTTCCTACCTTTTATGAGTCCTCTGACTACTTACGAACATTGTCTAACATTCATAAGTACCTGAGAACCAAAGCCATGTTATGCTTGATTACAAGAGAAGAACATGTCCATTTCACAGGAGAACCTTTTTCCCAAGCTTTTCATCATTCTTCCTCCCAGATTTCAAGTGGCAGCAATGAAGGGCAAAGGGGGCCCTGAGAAAGACCTTTCAGTTTTAAGTTAACACAAAGCATAGGTTGGTTTGGTTTCCGTTTTTCACTGGAGGAAAATGTTATACATGATTTATGTATATTTCAGGCTTCCTCAACTTCCTGTGATTGATATTACCAGTATTCAGTCCTTACTCCTGTGCAAACTACATAGGACACTTACAGGCAGGCAGGCAGCCCACAGAGAAAGGTTTTTGGACTCATAGGATTCTCCCTTTGCAGCATTCAGCATCAATAAAAACTAAAAGTTCTTGCTCCAGGAACTCTGGCCAGCACACCCCCTTTCTGGGCATCCTTAGGTTACTAGCTCCAGAATAGGTGGGTAGGAGAGCTAAGCCAGTAGAAGAAAAGCAAAACTGAGAAAGGGAGAGAGGAAAGGTCATAAGGACAAGGGAGTGTAATTTGTGACTAATAAACACCGAGGTGGCTTTTCTATGTGTTTGATAAAATGTCTTTGGAGATGATTTCAAAAGAAAAGTTTCAAAAATGTTCTAAGTAATACTAGCATCACTACAGTAAGTGCGTGGCCTCCCAAGGGTACCATTTTAAAGGAGAGTAATCATTTGATTCTATGAGTTATGATAGATTTTGCAGTAGAGTTCATTGTTAATATCAAAAAGCACTGCTTAAGAGATGGCTCTAACCCATGGAATACAAGAAAATTTGTAGGATGTGCAGGTGGAATGGAAACATTTTTAATTTCATAGTCTAAGGACCAAATTCAGCACTGGGTACTTCTGCATCAGCCACTATTGAAAACTCTGAGGATGTGGGACACTTTGTGACAAAAGATTAGGAAAAAAAAAAACCCACTGCAAACGAATGGCATATGTAAATTCACAGCAAGCCTGCCTTACAGAATAAATTGGGGTTTGGCTGAAGCAGGACGAATGGCCTACCTCAATTTTATATACAGAAGTAGCATAGTAGGAGAGTAATAGAAATTTTTGTAGTTCAAGAGACCTAGTGAACATCCTGGCTTCAACTTTTTACACCTGAATACCCCCCTGCAAATCATGTAACATCTCTGAGACTCAGTGTCCTTACCTGTAAAATGCCTAGTGAAGTGCCTGGAAAACAAAAGATATTCAATAAATATCAGTTCCTCCATTAGGTGTTTTCTTCTTTTCAAACTAAGGGTCACAATCCATTGGTAGATTATGAAATCAATTTGGTAGGTTGCAACCAGCATATTTTAAAACTGAAACAATAAAAAGCATCAGAGTACCCTACACATAATGTCGTTCCATTATGCATATGCTGAGTTTTGATATAAATGCATTTTTTACTGTGAGTTACAACCAAAAAGTTTCAAAGTCTCTGCTCTACAGAGAAATTCTCAAAACTATTACATCACAAAAGTCTTCAGGAAAAACAGTCTTTAGGAGCACTGCCTTTATCCAAATGAGCCTCAGTACATTCTCCCCACCCCCATTCTGTACTTTTCACCCGTGACTTCTTTATTTTATAACTGGAAGTTGGTACCTCTGTAAATTTTAAGAACTTAATCAAAGTGCCCCTTATCTTCTAATGTGATCTAGTAAAAATAAGACATGAATCACAGAGAAGATGAACTTAATCTGATACTGTAGGGCATTAAATTCAGTTTAAGATTGGTGTCTGTGTCATATTGTCTAATTTATACCTCTAAACACTTTATAGGTTGATTAAACACTTCCAAGAAATTTCTACAAAAAGTTAGCTATTAAGTTCTATTATGGGGAAATTAGATACAATTTCTAAATAATTTTAAATTGTAAAACTTTTTAAAAGGGCTGTAACTTGCCTGAACCTGAAGACTGCTAGAGTAATGTTCCGATCCTGACGACTACTGAAAACCAAAGGTCTATATGGGAACATGCAGTGGGAGTATAAATGAGATCCCCAGACGAAATGCGAGCTTCAGTTACAGGCCTCCTCCCTCCTCCAGCTCCAGTGTAAAACTAGTCCCTGGTGCTGTTCAGCAGGTGGGCTTAAAACGCATAGCCAAGTGCGGGTTGGCAGAGTAGGAGTAATATGTCGAGATGAAGACTGGGCCACAATGAAGGGCAGAATACTAGAAATTACAGAACTCAATGATACAGCTCAATCTTGATGTAACTCTACCTTAAATTTGTAATTTTGGCTGGCCAGGCCAGATTGGCCATTATTAGAAGTACCTATGGGACTGAAGTTTAGCAATCTTGTTTTAAACAAGGACCCTGGGTGATTCTGATCCTCACTCTGGTTTGAATACCCTCTGTTAAAGGGACAGCGAGGATCAGAAAATATTTAAAAAGGTGGAGTTCCAAATATCCCAACCTTGCAGGAATCCAATATCAAATACTGGATTAGAATCCAACACTTATTCAAAGCATTTCCTTCTTGGCATTATACTAAAGATACAAGTCAACAGTTAGCAATACTTGATATTTTCCAGTTGTTGAATGACAGTAAGAAATGGTGCTTTCTCTTCATTAGAATTCACTGGTGAGTGGGATGTAAAGTGATGAATCACTAATTCTACTCCTGAACCATTATTACACTATATGTTAACTAACTTGCATTTAAATAAAAGGGAAAAAAAAGATTCATTAGTGACCGTCAAGAAAGTGGGAGAGAGAAAGGTCTGTTTAGATTAGACAAAGAAGTAAAAGGTAGAATTAATAAAAATTATTAAGAGTAAACTCAACAAGAGAGAAGTGATAAACCATTCAACCACCTGAGGAATCTGGTTCCCGAGCTCACACATTTGGTGGTATAGGTGCCCATTCCTCTGCTCTCAGAAAACAGTAAAAATTAAGGCAAAAGGAAAATCCTTCCTATTTCAAATGAGTTGGGGGTGCAGAATGAGGCTACCTGTGATTTTGAATTCTTTTCTCCCAAATTTAAAATCCCTTTGCTATTTGATAAGACAGACACTAGGTTAGGCTGGGCCATGCTTGCTCTGTTGGGATTAGCACCACAAATCCTTCGTGAGGACTGAGTCTTGGCACCAGGCTTTGTCTATCATCTTGAATGTGAGAAAAGGCAGGCAAGAACGCCATTCTTGGGAAGAAATAGCAGCTGTGAAAAGTAAAGGAAAGCACAGGAGACAGCAGAGCCTGGGGAAAAGGATGGCAGTAACAGAAGTGAGGTAGAAAGCCCTCCTCCAAGGGCCAGCTAGAAAGACTTAGGGTCAGAGAGTCCCTGTGTGGCAGGGACATCAGTCTCCTGAAATTGTAAGACGTCCCTAAGAAATGATCTGGTGTCCCCCTACCTTCTGCTTATTTATTTTTTTTTACCTCAAACTCTAACAATGTTGGAAATATTTGGAGATTTCTCTTCCCTTTTTTTCTCTCTTTCACCTAGAGGTTACAAGTAAGGATGATTGGAAGGAAACAGAGATGGGAGACAGTACAAGAAAGCAGATTATGAGAAAAGTCCTCATTACACATGGGTAGAATTCACCCCACAAGTCAAAGAACTGTTCAAAATTACAAGGGAGGGAAGGCAGAGGCCACTGGATCTTTGAGGTGTTAAGAGACAGACTGACAGAGCAAGCTCAGTGACTGGCTTAATAGTCTCCTACCACTTGAGATTCTGTGTTCTTTATTTAAAGAGAGACAGAAAGAAGAGTTCAGAAAAGAAGCCAGTGTCACAAATTAAGTTACCTGAAAGAGAAGTTGCACCTCTCTTTCCATTTTCTGACACTATTAGTGTCCGTCACCAGAAAATACAGGTGACCAAACTGCAATAAGGTTCACCAAATGGACTCCACCATGTAGCTCACCTGTTCCCCCTCGTGAGATCCCGACTTCCTTATTTGATAAGAAAGGCTCCTAAACTCCCCATTCTTTTCTTTGTTAATGGGCCAAATAATCTCCTATGTTTGGGAGATAAACAAACATATTTATAAGATACTTAACCTTAGGGTCTCCAAGTCAGGGTTATAGAATAAACTAGTCTTCCATAACCCATCATGTCCATACATCTCAAGTCTTATCAGAGTTGTAAGCTCATTTTTCACATTTCCAGGCAGAAAACCTGCTCCTTGGCAGTCTTTAAACTTTACCCGACAACACTACACACCCTCATCCCAGGCTCCTCAATCTCTAACATCTCCATTAACACTCCAGCAAACAACAACATATATCCACTTATCACAGTTCAATCCCACTTGAACATCTACAGCCACTATCTTGATATAATCATGTTCCAAAACTGACTGAGTGTCCAACAGCAGCAAAGGTCCTCATTAGGATAGACATGTTGGCGCCAATAAGACTGAAGTTGGGTTTTAACTGCATTTTTTGTCAGTTTGGCTGGGGAGATCTGGACAGCTGGAAGTGAGCTTCTCCATCATTTTCTGTTTCTTTCTTTGTATCAGTTTTCCACCTGTGAAGCCCAACACCCCACCACCAAGTGCAGCTGCAATTCCTGCCACTTTGAAGCCTGCAAGGAGGCCAATCGGACCCCCCACCACTCCTCCGATGAGTGCACCTGCCACAGGCAGAGCTGCCAGCTTGTATTTTGCAGCCTGTAAAAAAAAAAAAAAAAAAAAAAAAAAAATTCAATTTAGAAATTGAGTTGAGAATATCTGCCTGTGGTGATGTGCATTTTCCTCTCATTACTCCTGGCAATGCCTCTTTAACTCCTGGTACATAATTAACCCTAGAGATTGGGGAGTGGGGGGAAGTATTCCACAGGTACTACAATTGCTCCTGATCTCAGAACTCAGAGAGATGAGCTACAAAAAGTGGACTGCTACAAATTGATTTTACTTGCAAAACAATCAATCCACTAACTATCTAGCAGGCTTATTTCAACAGTTTCAGCTGCTATAGATACCCCCAAAGCTTTTATGCTGCACAGAGATTATTCCATGCTGTATACCTGGGGTTAAAAGCAATATTCTATGGAAAACAGATGGTCCCATTCTACCCGTACGGTCACATCCTTACAGTTTTGCCCCTACCAGATTCTGGCAACCCTCTACTTCATTCCCTGCACTTCTGCAAATATGTCCTTATAACACCAAAATGCCTTCTAGTGGGGCTTTGGTTTATTCTCTGAAAAATTTCTCTCCCGACAGAATGAATCTTGAGAGTAAAATATTACAACAGTCATTGATTTCTTGCACTACCTATGTGTCATTTGTTCCTTATTTCCTTAATTGCTGGTTCCCTCCACATTAAAGAGAGCAGATCAATTGGGTTAATACTGGAGATTCCTGGGAGCCAGAGTACCATTGATTTGTCAGCAGGAGCAGAATCTTACCTTCCCCAAGTTTTTGGTTCCCTCTTCAACATTCACAGCAGCTCTGTTGACATGGTCTTCAATGCTGTCAATCTTCTCCTGCTGAGACTAGATGCAAAGGAATTATGAGTGAGCATTCCTGCTGGGGAGCAGCAGTCAGCCAATACACAGTACTTTAATTCCTGTAATCAGGGTCCCGTGTACTGCAGCCTTGCTGTCTGAATAGTGGTTCATTAATAGTGTCTGATAAACTATGCTGAAAGTACAAATTCACTTGTATTAAAAAAAAAAAAAAAAGGGCGACTTAATTATTAGGTAATAAAAGGGTGGCACCTTTATAAGAAAAAGGATCTCACACTAAAATCCATTCAAACATACAAACATATTATTCTCCAAATGAACTACTTTGTAAGAGAAGAAAAATCCAAATAAGCATTTACGTGTCATGTGGAGGTTGATGAAAAACAAAACAAAATGAAACAAAAAACCTTCCTCCTAAGTTACCTTTTTTGAAGATTCAAAGATTTAAAACAGGAAAATTTCCCTTAGGAGTAAAACATGCTTAGATCCAATGAATACAAATTATTACATTTTAGGAACGAGAAGACAATATGGTTTCATCTGTCATGAAATCTTTCCACTTGTGATATGCAGTAGGGGGCTGCGGATGAATTCACTGTCCTGAGTCTCACACCCGTACACTTTAATACATTTTAAAATCATGACAAGTTAAAATATTTCCGATCAAATATATTAATAAGGCATTCTATGAAACACGGCAGCATCTGCTCTGACACGGCAACCTTGTGACTCATGGAATCTCTGGGCACAAGGAATGATTTTTCCCTGAAAGGTGTGAAGCCCCACTACATTTCTCAGAAGTGGTTACTGAACTTCAGCTCAAACACCTCCAGTGACAGGAACTCATTACCTGCCACAGGAGCACATGCCCACTTTTAAAAAAGCTTTATTTAGACAATTCACCTACAATATGTGCCCATTTTAAGGGTATAGGATGATGAGTTCTGACGAATGTATAAACACCTGTAACCACCATCACATCAATATAGACTGTTCAGGTGCTTTTTCAATTCACTGAAAAAAAGAAGAGAATCCCTCTTTGATCCCAGGTAAATCCTACTTCTACAATGACTGTGAAATAATTCAACTTTAATCCTGAAGTATTTGCCCACTTAACTTACACCGAATCAGATGTAACACTCTTCTAACTCCAATTGTCATTCAAGAACATGAAATGCAATCAGCTGATTTTTCCCCACAGTTGCTTCCTGTCAGCATTACTGACATTCCTTCCCTTCCCATACACCAAGTGGGTACCTTTTCACTGTCAGACCTTTCATGGTATCCCTTCATTCCTGTGTTCTCCACTGCTATCTTGACATCTCTAACACAATCCCTGAAAAAGTCCCTTATCAGTTTTCCTTTTCACATTTCTGTCGGACACAAGTACAGCAATGGTTCTCATGTGTTCAAGAGCATGCCTGCGTCGCCTGGAAGACTTCTGAAGGCACGGACTGATGGGGCCGCTCCCTGAGTTTCTGATTCAGTAGACTTCGGGTGAAGCCTGAGAATTTGCATTTCTCATGAGTGCTGCAAGTCCATGATTCTCACACTTTAAAACCCACTAATGTATGTACATAACTGGTAAGGGCACAACCTTTGGCCAGATGTCCTGTGTTCAAATCACAGCACTGTGTGCCCATGGACAGATTACTCCAGCTATCCAAGGTGTCAATATTGTCATCTCTCAAGAAGGATAATGATATACCCCATGGAGTTGAAGTGAGGATAAATGAGATAGTGACTGTGTGAGGAGAAAAATTTACAAAGTCATTCTCATCTTCTCAAGAAAGCTTAACTCCCATCTTTCTTTTCTAAAAAGCATATTAAACTCTTTTCTATGAAGCTTGAAAATTCTTGGGCATGAAAACCTTAGATCTCCCCTAGCCATTCATTCATTCAGTTTTTATTTTCCTCAGACAAAACTTTTTTAATGTTAGCTTTCTTCTTCCAACCCATAGAAGCATAAGTGCCACCATTCATAATATCCAACCTGTAGGGATTTCTGACACTGGATTTCTATCACTGTTTCTGTTTGGGACATCCTCAACACTTTCCATTCTTGCCTGAAAGTCTGGGCCAGCAGATAAATCACATGTGTGATCATCAACCTCCACATCCTGATGAGCTGATGGGGTAGAGGGAAAATAGCCAACATGTCTCCTTTCTCTCAGTCTCCAAATGATTCCATCAAGATGATGGAGCCTGCTAGGACTACTGTCATTTCTATACCCCAAGTGTGATCCCAAATCTTCAGGGAAACATTTTTTTAATGCTCCTTCCAAAAAAGGTTGGACACTGCAGCTCTATGATTGTTTTCTTTTAAAATAAAGTAAAATTTAAAAATTAAAAATACTTTAAAAAAACTGGGGCACCTGGGTGGTTCAGTCAGTTAAGTGCCTGACTCTTGATTTAGGCTCAGGTCATGATCTCACGGTTTGTGGGATTGAGCTCTACCTCTGGCTCTGTGCTAACGCTGCGGAGCCTGCTTGGGATTCTCTCTCTCCCTCTCTCTCCCTGACCCTCCCCTGCTTGAGTGCTCATGCACACTTTCTCTCTCTCCAAATAAGATAAAATTTGAAAAATTTTAAACATAATTTTAGTATTTTTTCACAAAAATATTTTGGTATAATTGGAGAAAAGACCACAAGACAGAACTAAGCGTGAGACCACTGATGCTCCCCTATCACTGCAATCGCCAGTACTCGATGAGGTCTGTCCGACCCTGGGGAGTAGCCCAAACCTGTGAGTACTTATTCACTACATCAGGAAGCTTGCTTAAATATGGACATGGAGATAAGGCAGAGGGTGATCAGCAACTATCCTGGAATCAACAACTGTCCCTCAGTTGTACAGACCTGCCTCTCCCCTTTTCTTCTTAGTTTGAATCCCAAACTTCTCCTGTATCTTCAAATTCTGCTTCGTAAGTAAAGAGGACTCAATGACACCATCACAATTAGGCAGCAAATTAGTGTCAGTTGTCAATCACTGTCTATACACAATGCCAAACTAGATCCCATCAGAGCTGAATTTGGTCACTAGTCCACCATGCCCTTGGCTCTTTATGTTGGGCCAAACGATACAACTACACAACCTTACCTCAGTACAGGAAATCAAGCTCCTAATAATGATGGCTTAGAAGTCTCCTCACTTCTACCTACCGACCTCCCCGTTTTGCTTCTGATTTGCTTATGTCTGCTCTCATCTGCCTGGGCCTCCCACATTTAACAATCTTGAAACTCCTTTCTTGACATTTTATACTTTGGCCCCTCATATAAGTTCTTGGCATCCCTTTAAAAGGAGTTAGACTCCTCTTTTTAAAGGGAAAGACGTCTCAAAATACTCTGAGAATGTGTCTGTGGATTTCATTTTAAGAAACACTGAATTAGGTCTCCTTATTTACCTGAAAAAAATAACTGAATCTTAGCAGTTAGAGGAGCACTTAAGAGTCTTAAAAAAAAATGTGATTAAGTGAATATTTGTCACTTGTACACTCAGCATCCTCTATATCCACCAAACAGTAATACATTCAACAAATCCATCGCCAAATCTATTTACATCAATAAAAATGCCCTGCCTTGGACAGCCTTGCTAGTAGTTGTGCAGTTTTATTAATGTGCTAAAAGCTATGGGTTTAAGAAACTATTGTCAAAACTGTGGTTATTTTCCTTTATTCCTGACTCACAATTCCAGGCATCTTTCAAGGCTAGCTCTAGTCTTAGATATTGGTTAATCCAGGGAACACTGAGCTATCCTGGTTCTGAATTCCAAAAGTATATAATCTATAATTCTTTTTTTTTTTTTGTAGTCTATAATTCTTAACCATATGCAATAAATAATACACAGAAAAGCTCAGAAACATACAAAGACTACTATATACAGAAATTCAGGATTATATTGGCCTAGATAGAGTATGCAATAAACAGAGCAGAAGTAGCATGTTGATATCATGGGATTCAGCAATTAGGAAAGAGGTGGTGGCAAAAATGTAACTCTAAGGAAGGAGCCAAAGAGGGAATCATGTAAGCAGGGACAAAAGCAGGAATGCAGTTGGGGTCAGTAGAAGGGAAGGGGATATTACTTCAGTTAGTCCTCCCATCAATTTTACAAAACTCACTATTGTCAAACAACACCCTGAAGGCCAAACAGGTAATAAATCTGATTAATCTGATATAATTCATTACATCCCAGTTTTTATGCATCCAGAGTAAAAGCCATAGGGAATAAAGTAGAAGGTAGAGACAATATTGGACCAGCAGCAAGGGTGACATGCCATTGTGTGACAGGCCCAGAGTTCTTTAAATTTCCCTTGACAAGAACTAGGGCAAGTTCCACAGTTATAGGAACAGAAGGCACTTGAGCAATTAAATGCTGAAGAAAAATGAAGGGTGCTTAGTAGATACTAATTTATTATTGGAGCACACCTGGATTTCTCAATGGTTTTGTAGGTTCATTTTTCATTATGGTAAAAAAAAATGTATGTATGTGTGTGTGTGTGTGTGTGTATACACACACACACACACAAAAACATTCACATATATATAATATATACTTATATATTATATATATATATGTATACATAAAGCTTACAATTTTAACCATTTTTAAGCGTGAAATTCAGTGGCATTTAGTACATTCACAATGTTCTGCAATTATCATGACTATCCTATAGGGTTTTTCTTTTTTTTAACTATTCTCTATTCTTCATTGAGCTTAGCACAGTACTATGCACATAGAAAGTGCTCCAAAAACACATGGTTTATTTGTCTAGATACTATCATGTCCATGTGATGATAATGAAAGGGATGTGGTCACTCTGCTTATGTTCCCAAGTCATTAGGTGCCTAAATGGAGCTTCTGTGAGTCCCTGACCATGTGGTCATGAGAACTCAACCACCCTGGGAAGAGTCATCAGGGGTTCTCCTTTGAGCTTGTGCCTAATAGCATTTTGTCCCATGTCCTCACACAGATTATTATAAATAGGACATTTGTATAGAACTATGGCTATAGCCAAAGTCTTTCGACACGAACCTTCCTTGATTATGGGTTAGGAGCTTCTTACGTAACCTAATCGGATATATAACTGTTAAATGGCCACAAACTCTCAATTTTCCTTTCATGTGCCTATTCCACTGGAAGGGAAATATATTTGTCTGGAATGAGAAGACTTTGTACATGTTTAGTTTGTTTTTTAAATCAACTGTATTGAGGTATAATTTATATAATAACAGATTTTAATGTGTAGATACCAATGACTTTTGGCAAATGTATGTTTGTGTAACCATACATGTACAGATTTTAGAAACTGCATTAGATCAGATATTATGAGTTACAATTAATTCTGAAACAACAAATATTTTGGGATTCTTGTCGTATCATTACCTTTGATATGCAAGTATATCGATAGATTGTACAGATATCTAATCAAAAAACTTCAAGCATTTTGCTTCTTCTGATTTAGAAACATCAAAAAAGGAAAATGCTTTAAACAATCTACTGACATTCAATTTGAGGCATTAGATGCCAAGAAAAAAATACAAAAACTAGAAAACAAGCAAAGGAAGGGACTAGCACTAAAAAGCCCAGAAATCATATTCTAGAAGGAGCATATTAGAGAATCAAGAACTCTGTTCAGTCTATGGCTCCAAGAGGGCAAAAGTACCAGAGGGAAGTTATTATAGGGCAGAGCTTACACAGGGAATAACTTCTAAGAGGTAGTCTTCAAATAGAATGGCTGAAATAGAAAGTATCCCCACGCTGTAATTGTTCAAAAAAAGCAAAAAACCATCTAAATGGGAAGCTGGGGCAAGAACAGAATTGGATTAGCTGACCTTGTAAATCCTTTCCAATTCCAGTTCTGAGACTGTGTAATCTAGGGACTTTTATCCTTAAAAAGCCAGGCATCAGGGAAACCATAACTCACAGATGTAAAACCCCCAAATCACAGTTTGATCAAAAACAAAGAACTAGGGGTGCCTGGGTGGCTAGTTGGTTAAGCGTCCAACTCTTGATTTCAGTTCAAGTCATGATCTCATGGTTCATGGTTCGTGAGATGGAGTCCCACACAGGACTCTGCATTGACAGCACTGTGCCTGCTTGAGATTCTCTCTCCCTCTGTGTCCCTCCCCTGTATGCATGCTCTCTCATTAAAAAAAACAAAACAAAACAAAACAAAACAAAAAAAACTAAACCTAGACAAAAGCATAAGCAGACACTGGTTTGTTCCTCTGTGTGCACACAGACATATACACACATACTCATATAGCCAACCTTCCCATACTTCCTGGGAAGGAAAAATAAGAATAATTAGAAAAATAATGACAGAATCTATTGTCTTTCCCACCAAATCCACTTTATGTTCCCTGATCTGTGTTAACAATGTCACTGGCTACTCAATTATGCACAATAAAGCCTGATGTTTTGAGTCTTCCATCTTTCTTCAATTTCTGCTAAGCCTACCCCAGAAATACCTCTCAGCTGGCCTTTACCTTTATATTGTATTGCCATTGCTCTTGGTAAAACTCTTGCTATTGATCCTTAACTAGTCATCCGCCTATTATAACCCCCCTTCCTGAGGTCATTATTCACACTGCTAATGGTAATCTTAACTGTTAGCAGTGTGAACCTGCTTATCACTCTAACCTGCTTAAACATTTATATTTGCCAGGGGAGAGGGGAAAATGGGCAAAGGGCATTGAGGAGGGCACTTGTTGGGATGAGCACTGGGTGTTGTATGGAAGCGATGAATCACGGGAATCTACCCCCAAAACCAAGAGCACACTGAATACATTGTATGTTAGCCAACTTGACAGTAAATTGTATTTAAAATTTTTTTTAATATTGGCTCCTTAATGCCTACAAATTAAAGTTAAAATTCTTTGGTGTGGCCCGCAAAACCATCTCAATCTGGCTCTCACACTCCCTGCTTTGCTTGCCCATAGTATCTCATCCTTTGGTTTTATTGCAATCCTGGTCATTCTTGAAAGGCCACACACTTCTCTATTCCATGTCTTCAGCTGTTTTCAAAGGCACCCCTCCCCACTCCCATCTATGGACATTGTACTCAATTTTCAAGGCTCAAGCAAATGCTACCTATCTTGTGAAGATATCCTTAATACTTCTACCTCACAACCCCTGCCTCCCTCCCTTGGAATTAAATGCTTCTCTTAGAGCTGATAACACTTTCCTTCAATCTCATTTTTGCACTTAACAATCATGTTTGAAATTTCAGTTTTTGGGGTCCAAGCTTATCTCCACCCACTGTAAATCCTTGAAAGCAGAGAACAGGTTTCATCTATTTCTATAGCTAACCTTGTCAGACCCCTGGTGCCAAGGATCTAACACAATACCTTCTATATAACAAATCTCTGACAAATGCTTATTAAATTGATTTGGAAGCTGAGGACTGTTAGACTTTTACCCAGGGCTCAATACCAGTCTTGAAAATTGTAACTTCTATTAAAATTCTAATAAAAAGCCTAGTAATTGATAAAAAGCCTCTTATCATACTAATCTAACATTTCTAAGACAAAAACTATTATACTTACATTCACTAGAAGAGAGAAATCAGTGACCAGTTGGCTAAGTTCAATTAAGTCCTTAAAAAGAGAGAGAGAAAAAAAAAGTTACTTATTTTTATGCCTCACAGCTACCAAAATGAAAATAATTTTTTACATACCGCTTCTAAGCTTTCCCATGATTCTGCAGCATTTTGATCTCGAGGAATTTCAGGCAACGCATATACCTGAGTCATATTCTGAGGATCATCTTCAGCCTCAGCAGTATGAAATGTTCCTGAATGAACATAGCCTCATGTTTAGGGTTTATGTGCTTTGTTAGAAAGTGGATAGCATAAATCAATTTTATAAAACAATTTCCATGTAAAATGCTAACTGAATTCAGACTAAAAGTAAATTGATTGTTCTATAAAAATAGATTTATCTATGGCAGATTGTTCAAAAGTTAACTTTTTTCTTTAATTGTTCTACAAAATCACCTCAAAAAAAAGTGGCTACAACAAATGCCATCTACCCAATCTGAATAATTAGAGCTAGATGTGGAAGAAGCACTGAAGAAGAACTATTCTATTTGGCCAACATTCCACACAGAGATACTCAGTAGAAATAGGTTTCACATTTTCAATGCTAAATCATTAACCCTTTCTTTGGGTATTTTAGTAATAAATACCAGATTCATAAGGTGTTAAAAGTAGGAAAGTGATGTGTTTTTTTGCAATGAAAATCATTTTGGGTAACAAATTTGTCATCAAATGAACACCACGTGGATCTTTTCATACATATTGTCTATCCTTCTCCTCATTTTTCTAGGCCATGTCCTAGAAAGACATTGCTTTTGTCTTTTCTGAGTCTTAAAAAGTCACCATGGCACTTGGGTAGCTCAACTGCTTAAGCAACTGACTCTTGGTTTCAGCTGGGTCATGATCTCACATTCGTGAGTTCAAGCCCCACACCAGGCTCCATGCTAACAGCATGGAGATTTCTTTTTCCCTCTCTCTCTGCCCTTCCCCAGCTTTCTCTCTCTCTTTTCCTACTCTCTCTCTCTCTCTCTCTCAAAAAATAAACATAAAAAGTCATCGACCCACTAAGGGCTTCCTCATTAAAACTGCTATGATGATGAATTAATTTACACTCCAAACTCTACCATCAAGTCTTTATTTCCTTGTATTGGTTTTACCAATCATTCATGCGTTAAACTGATACGTACAGAATGTCTACTAAATGCCAATCAGTGTGCTAGGGTACTACAGACACAATGGTAAACCATAAAAACAGTTCCAGGGAGTCAACATAGTATAATGGTTAAGAGCATGGACCTAGTCAAAAAGACCTAGTTTAGAATCCAGGTTTGGCTATTTATTAGCTCTTTGACTCATTTTCCTCATTTTAATTTTTTTTTAATTTATATATTTTTGAGAGACAGAGCATGCATGTGCATGCATGCAGGGGAGGGGCAGAGAGAGAGGGAAAGAGAGAATCCCAAGCAGGCTCCACACTGTCAGCATGGACCCCAACGTAGGGCCTGAACCCACAAACCATGAGATCATAACCTGAGCCTAAATCAAGAGTTGGACGCTTAACTGATTGAGCCACCCAGGAGCCCCTCCTCATTTTTAAAATGAGGTGAATGAAAGGGGTGCCTGGCTGGCTCAGTTCAAGAGCATGCGACTCTTCATCTTGGAGTTGTGAGTTTGAGCCCCACGCTGGGTATAGAGGTTACTTAAATGAATAAATAAAAACTTCAAAATATTAAACAATAAAAATAAAAATAAGGTGATAGATATTTACTTTGCACTGCGCCTGGCTTAAATATTCAGTACAGATGGGTTAATAAATAGTTACTACTAAAATAAATAGCCATTGCTACTGCTGCTATTATTAATGGAGCTTACCATATTATGTACAATACAGACATGTTAACAGGCAAGTTCAGTATAGTCTGATAAGACCTATGGTACGAGTAAATATGGAATGCTATGTGAGCACAAAAGAGAGGTACTTAACCTAGACTTAGGGAGGGGAGACTAGTTGGAGGTTTTGAAGCTGAAGGCTGAGGATGAACAGAAATGACATAGGTGAACCCAGGCAAAGGTGGAGGGAGAAGCAGAGACTATTCAGGTCAGGGAGAATAATATGTGCATAGGTTTGGGAACTGAAAAGAATTCAACTGAAGGGCAGACTATTAAAGAGAAAAGCAAACGATGAGGAAAAAAAATCTAAGGTGACATTATTCATGGCATTATAAATTATGTTAAAGAATTTTGTTTATCTCATAAGATCAATATGGAACTATTAAAAGGAGTTGGAGACTACTGGGAAGCTGGAGGATGCCATAATCAGATTTCAGATTTAGAAAGCAAACCATAGCTATAGCGTGAAGAATAGATTAAGGATGAAGTTGAAAGGTAAAAAAAATTAGAGAGCAGAAAAACCAATTGGGAGACTTTGCAGTAAGTCCAGTGCAAAATGATGATGCTCTAGGACAGTGGCAGTGGAAATGGAAAGAAGAGATCTGAAGGTCTAATTTCCTTTTGTCCCCCTTACTTCAAGCTCAAAATACCTACCACTTTAATGTTATCTGACCACCTACTGTGTTGGGTACCAGAGATAAAAAAGTAATACAAAGTAGATGCTCTTAAGGAACATATTCTAGAAGAGTTACACATACAAAGAGATAATCCTAAAACAATAAAAGAGTACAATGGCATTTAGATAGAGGGATATAGATACATACAGTATTTTGAGAGTTCCAAGTCTGGGATGGCATCTGACCCAGCTTGGTGTGGGTGTGCAGTTTATGAAATAGCTTCCTAAAAAAGGTGATCTTACAAGACAAAGAAAAAAGGTCTTCAAAAGAACAAACAATATAGCTTAACATAAAAATCAGCAGGTTGGTCTTGCCAAAGGATAAAGCAGAAGGCACAGAGTTACAAACACAGAACATTAAGTAGATGTTTAGGAGGGGGCTTGCAGGCCAGTTAAAGGCTTTGGACTTTATCTGACAGACAGTGGAGAGCTACTGAAGTGTTATAAGCAAGGACATGACATAGTGACACGTGATACCTGATCCACTCCTAAAAGTCATTATAACTCTTTAAATTCACCTTCTCACTTTCTTTTTTCATCTTAGTCAATAATTGATGGCATGTTATAAAACAGCATTACTATTTTACTTTTGAAACTTATGAATGTTTTACCTCTTGAGGAAAATAATCTGAATTGTTTAGGAAGGGCATAGTAGTTGATTAAAAAATATTTTGTAGGCTTATCAGAATTGACAGTGTTCTTTAAAAAAAATTTTTTTTTAAATGTTTATTTTTGAGACAGAGACAGAGTGTGAACAGGGGAGGGGCAGAGACAGAGGGAGACACAGAATCCGAAACAGGCTCCAGGCTCCGAGCTGTCAGCACAGAGCCTGACGCAGGGCTCGAACCCATGAACTGTGAGATCATGACCTGAGCCGAAGTCGGACACTTAACCGACTGAGCCACCCAGGCGCCCCACAGTGTTCTTTTAATTTTGAATTTTAACTTCTCTGAATACATTTCCTTATCTTACAGGAAGAGCAAAAACATCAGATACGGAGTAGATTTTACATTACAACATTATGACAAGTATCCAATATTTTAAAAGCTCTCTGATTTTTACAAATGTTTAAAAGAGTTACTTACCCTATGTCCTAACATAGCACATAAAGACACTTTCATTTTCATGTCAATCAAGATAAATGAATTACTCTAAGACCGCTCTTCCACTTAATATTTCTATTGTAATAAGAACTCCACTTCTTTAATAAGATGATGAATAATGATAACTTTGTTATCATTAACAGACCAAATGTAAAGCAGAACTTTATAAATAGAACACCCACTCTAAGGATTTTTATAAGCCATAACCCTTATTCTATTACAGAGGATTTAAATGAAACTGCCAGGGTATACAACAAAACGAGGGGAGATTGTCATACATAAATTCTTGACCTAAAAATTGAAGGGGTGGGAAATGTTTGGTATTTTAAGCAAACATAAAAGATTCCTCTTTGTAAAAAATAAGAAATGTTTAAGTCACTTACGTCTCACTTGAAACCAAACTGCGTATGCATCTTAGTTCAAATGGAGTCTGAGAACAAAGAAATCTGTTCTATTCCGGGGAAAATCCTGCTGTAAACTTACAACTCTGAACATCACTAATCAATGTGAGGCATAACTAACAATTAAGAAAGAAACCCTTTAATATCTACAACTTCTGTAATTCATTTATTCCAGCTTATATTAGAAATCAGTACCTCAGTGAATATTTATTGACTTTGAACTTTCAGAAATTACTACAGACATGATGAGGGAAAACACTGAGACAGATTATAGCTGCAGGAAAGAAGGATGAAGAATTTATCCTGTCCACAGAAGTGAAAATTGCTATTGTTTTATATGATGAAATAATCTAAGATAGTTCCATCCACATGACAACTCCAAGTGTAAAGGGCAGGTAGAATACATACACGTCGCACCACTGTTTTTCAAACTCCAGTTTTAAGACCGTATTATTTACTACAAAACCTTATTATTTACTACATTATTTATTATTTGTAGTAAAAATATTAACATATTTTTAGTTGTTAATAACACAGACATAAGATTTTTCCCTTCTCTTTATACGTCCAAACATTCTTTGTCTCTCTCCATATTTCATTGAAAGGCAATGATTCTACTAAGAATTACAACACAACATATAAAAAGTTTCCACTAAACTTCACTATGTTTGGGAAAGTTTCATTATAAATGTAAATTAATTTAAAAGCATTTCCTGAATTTTTCATTTTCTGACAGATTAAAAATAGTGAAATTAATCTACTGATCATCTATATCAACTTATCTATCAAAATAAAATGACTTCTAAGTCACGGCTTAACTTAGTGGTAAAGGAGGATTTTTAAGAAAATTAAAGCCAATAGAAAATATATCTTCTGAATAATATACAAAACTATCCACGTGTTTCGCAAAACTGTTCACCACATGTATATATACCTGTGATAAAATCTGATATTTCATCAAATTCAATATGCAGTCTGAAGTTCCCAGCAGTTTTAAGATTGGATTCTTTTCTTTTGTGAATATTTGTTTAAAATGTAATAAGATTCTGTTCCTATTGCACTGGTGAGCTGCATGTGCCGGATGGGGAGTAAGAAAGACAATGATTGAGAGAAGCACTGATTCACTCTGTATGACCTGATACACCTTTCTAAATACAAATCAAATTTGTAGGCTCATCACTTCTCTTGGTGGGAAGCAACGCTAAAAATGAAACTAGACACACAAGTGAAACAGAAGGGAGTTTCTCAGATCAAGCAAGATTGGCAGAGAAGATTTGCTTTAGGAACTCTCAGAATCTGGACAAAAGAAACAGCAAAATCATCACAGCTTCCTCCTAAACTTAATAAGCTTCTTTCACTCTCCAGAGAACATAAAACATCCTATTCTACTTGTTATTTCTATCTGTAAATGAAAAAACTATTTTTGTATTTCGATCTCACTCATGGAAATGTGGCAACATTGCTCCTGAATCTCTGCTGATATTTCCAACCAATTTATTTAGAATCAGATTGAATTTTTAAAGGAAGAAGTATTTTAAGGCACTTAACTTCTATGCAAATCACATTTTTCTGTATAGGCTGTCACTACTATAATGAGTATCTAAAGCAAAAACAAAGAAAAACCAGAAAGCACAGATAAAAACATGCAGGATGACAGAAAAGAGTCCACAGCCAGAAGACCACACGTGGAGTGAACCGAGTTCCTACCCCACTATTAAGGTCTTATGTAAATTAGTTCCTTTGTTTTCATTATTCTCCACCTTTCCCATTCTCTCAATTATTTGTTAATAATATTTCTGGATTTAAGGCAACCTAGTACAAACTCTCACAGTTGGTGAAATACTCAGGCACTTGGTGAGATAGTTCATTTAACTGCTTAATGTTGGCAATGGATTCAAAGTCAAAGCGCAATCTGACCATTTGGAATTTGACATTCTACTATTGTTTTAGGCACAAATTAGGTGTTTTTTTTTATATAAATGGGTTGTCTCAATTTTTTTTTTTTTTTTTATAAATGCTACAGAGGTTTAATTGTGTAGTTTCTCCTGGTGGCAAGTGATTAGGTCTTTAGCTAATTTGATGTTCCATGAAATGAGAAGTTTGAGAATCATTACAGATGGAAAATCCTCTGTCTCTGCCCCAATCTTTTTCATTTTCTCTGTACACATGTTTCCTCAAATTTTGCCAATATCTAATATATAGTTTTAACACCAGTTTCATACAGAGATATTTAATTGCCAGCAAACTGGGTAAACTGCCTTTTTCTAATAACCACCCAGTTTCTCTGATGATATTTAAATCCAAGTCTGTCGAGCCCAAACAGTCCTGACAGAAACCCAAATAATGCAATAAAAAAATGCAAATGAAAGCAAGTATTAGAATAGTATCATATTGTGAGAAACTGTCAGAACACAAAATTTTTGTTTCCTAGGTAATTCCTAGTGATGGGCAACTCAAAACTAAATAGCAAAAGAAACTGATGTCAGCAACTCTTTCCAGAAAATCCAACATATCTTCACTGTTGTTACCGCCATCACAACTGTCACAATGTCTAAGTGGGTAAGCTAGCTGCTTAATCACATGGAAGCCCAATTTCTCTAAGGCAAATAAAGTATCAGTTCACACTAAATGATATGAACAGCATTTAGCCTCATCAATACAGTGGTGATAAATATATATGGACAGAATAATGTAAACAGTAACTGGTTAAAAACTATCAAAAAGCACTCTTCCCAAATTCTCTTCAAGCAAGGGGCTGAGTGTTAACACTTCCTTCTCTCCAAAACAACACTTTAGGTACTGGTTATCACAGAGTGTAGTGAGTATGGCACATCCGAAATTATAAAATTGTCTCCAAAAACATATTTATTTATTCACATTTATGAAACATTTATTAATGGCCCGCTATGTGCCAAGCACTACTATATGCTATGTACCGAGGATACAATAAAAGTAAGATTACCAAGAAAATCTGGATGATGGCCTAAATGTTTCCTCCAATTTCTAAATTTGGACTTCCCTGTAAATTATTGGGTCATTAGTACTGAAAATATAACATTAAAAATAATCTAATTTTGGAGACAGGGAATGGTACAGGAGCCTCCTACATAAATGAAAAGAGGAAAACTCAGCAGGTATAATATCCTTCAGATTCTATTCTGATTTGTAATTTATTTATATTCCACTTTTTCCACTAAGATTTAAGGCAACTTAGAACATATGTAAAATGTAACAAGATAGCATAATTAAAGGGAAACAAAGAAGGAAAAATGAAGGAAGCAATTATAAAACAAAGCCAGGAGCTAAAAAATTGGCTTTTGGTAGTTAAAAAAAATTCAGATTTAAGCTTTCCAGTAAATAACTCAAGTAGAGAAACCTTATCAGTTATGCCATCCAGTACCCATAGGATTAAAAAAAAAAAAAAAAAAAGACCAACTGCTTTCAAGTACTACTACCTATTAAACCAAGATTTTTTTTTTTTTTTTTTAGTGGTCTTTATAAAGGTACTACTATCATGCAATTAACAATTATCAATTACATCCTTAAAAGAGATATAATGACAAGTTTTACCGGACTGTTTCTTAAAGTATCACCTCATAAAAGCTGATAGCATGACCCCCAATGCAGATTTTCTTTAATGTCATTAAACTCAGAAAACTGAGCTGGGAGATAGATCTAACATCCACTATGAAAGAAAGTCAGAATGCCAAAGAAAGAGGTGTGCCTGATCAGGCTACTCCTGCACCAGGAGATGAAAGGGGCATACTCTGCAATCCAGGATGACATTCTCCTTAGGAAATATTATAACATTTATTTTCATTATATAGACAAATAGGTACTTGAAGCCTCGAAGTTCCACTCTATACAGCACAGTCTTAAAATCTTTATCCTGCAAAACTTCTAGGGTATGCATTTCTAGGCACATTCAGGGTTCAACAATTCAGCAGACTGAAATAGAAGGTGATCCCTGGAGACTCACATATCTGCAACAGCTATACAAGATGGTGAACTTTAACTAAATTCATTACTATGATCAAAAATAAGACTTAGTACATTACCACCAACAGTCATGGATCTGGTCAAAGAAGGTTGTAATAAAGTTTCTTCATCATTAAATTGTTTCTTAAGTTCTTCTACAGATTCCAGATGGAGTTGAAGAAATTCTGCTGTTGCTGTTGATGCTTCTTCTTTAACAGGGTCTATCATTCTCTTTAGAAGTACTAGGTCATCCTTTCGGACTTTCAAACAAAGTTTCTCCATTTCTCGGATATTGGAACGGAGTTGCTACAAAAGAAAAAAAAATCATTAAAGCCACCATCTATTAATATGAAATATCTTTATTGTCAAAAGTAATCTGTGATAATGCTTGTAAATGGAAATAATACAAGTATTCTCTATGGCAGAAAGTATACCTTTTTAAAAATTTTTTGTATCTCTAGCCAAATTGAACTTCATGAGAACTCACATCCAGGTACTTTGAGTTTGTTTAGCATTCTTTTCCTTCATTAAATGTTATTATTATAAATAACACATGCTCTTCATAATAAATCAAACCCTGTAGAACATATCTAGACAAAGTTGATGCCCGCCTTCACTGATTCCACCACCTCTCTTTACCTAGTCCTTCCACACATTTCCCACTGCTCATGCAAACATTAACATATATAGCCTTTCTTTTCACACACACAAAAAAAGGATTACACTGTGCATAATAATCCATAATTTGTTATTCCTCACCCCAATAATATAACAATACCACCATGGATATCCTTCCATGGGTGTACCATATTCCACAGTATAGATGGAAAATAATGTATTCAATGACTCCTCCAAGTGATCAATAGTCATTCATGTTGTTTCCAAAACAGAAGTCCTTGAATATAATCCTAATATACCATAACAGTATATATCACTATTATAGTATATCCTATTATACTATATTTTGTAGGAATGATTTCCTGGGTGCCTGGGTAGCTCAGTCGGTTAAGCATCCGACTTCGGCTCAGGTCATGATCTCGCGGTCCGTGAGTTCGAGCCCCGCGTCGGGCTCTGTGCTGACAGCTCAGAGCCTGGAGCCTGCTTCAGATTCTGTGTCTCCCTCTCTCTGCTCCTCCCCCACTCGTGCTCTGTCGCTGTCTCTCAAAAATAAATGTTAAAAAAATTTAAAAAAAAATGATTCCCAAAAGTGAGAGTACTTAAAGGATAATGTGCATTCTTATTTCAATAACTATTAACAGTGTTTTCCTACCAGTAACAAATTATACTACCACCAAAGTATGAATGCCCATTTCCCTACATACTGCCAGTTGTACATGTTATCTCACTGTTGTTTTAATTCGAATTTCTGAGTGTTGCCAGATTTTTATCCAATGATTTCCCTCTCTTTTTAAAACCATCTACTGACATAATCATGGGGCACCTGGGTGGCTCAGTCGGTTAAGCATCTGGCTGTTGATTTTGTCTCAGGTCATCTCACGGTTATGAGACTGAACCCCACATCTGGCTCTGTGCTGTGAGTGTGTGGAGCCTGCTTAAGATTCTCTCTCTCTCCCTATGACCCTCTCACATGCTCGCTCTCAAAAAAAAAAAAATCATCTACTGACATAATCATAAATTTTCCTCTAAGGTGCTGATATAACGAGCTACAGGCAGGTTTCATGGTATAGAGCCATCTTTATACTTCTGAGGTAAACTCTTTCTAATCACATATATAATTTTTTTGATTCAATTTGCTAATAATTTATTTGGACTTTTAACACATCTGTTTGTGTGTGCATGCATGTGCACACATGAACGGTGTGTCTATATTATCTCTCTCAGACTTAAGGTCACTTTAACAAATTTAAGGTTGTGCTAGTTTCACAGAATGAACTGTGGAGCTTTCCATTTTTTCCAATAGTCTATACTCCTGAAAAACATAAAATCCAACTATTCTTTGACAATTAAACACAACTAACTTGCAAGAATGATCTGAGTATGATGCTTTTAAAAATTATAGATCTCTATATTATATTATTTATAATATATATTAATATAACAATTTTCATATAACATTTTAAATTCTTCTCCCCTGTTGTACTTCCACAGATACTAATGCAAATTCTGTATAATAGGACAAAATGTACTAATTTCTTTAATTTCTCAAGTACTTACTCTGAGTGAAGTGTTACATTCCATATTACTACATTCCACATTATTACATTATAGGAAAATCAGAACAAAGATAACTTGTTTAGGATTTACTTAATTATCTAGCAGCAAAGTGCAGTTAAAACCGAGGTTTTTTTAATTAAGTTTTTATTTTAATGCCAGCATAGTCAATACAGTGTTAGTTTCAGGTAAACAATACAGTGATTCAACAATTCCATATTACACCCAGCACTCATCACAACAACTGCTCTCTTTAATCCCCATCACCTTTTTCACCCATCCTCCCAACCCACCTCCCCTCTGGTAACTATCAGTTTGTTCTCTATAGTTAATAGTCTGTTTCTTGGTTTCTCTTTCTCTCTCTCTTTTTCCTTTGACCATTTGTTTTGTTTCTTAAATTCCACATGAGTGAGATTATATGGTATTTGTCTTTCTCTAACTTATTTCACTCATCATTAATCTAACTCCATCCATGTTGCTGCAAATGACAAGATTTCATTCTTTTTTATGGGTGAATAATATTCCTCTGTGTGTGTGTGTGTGTGTGTGTGTGTGTGTGTGTGTGTATCACATCTTCTTTATTCATCTATCCATGGATACCTGGGTTGGTTCCATAATTTGGCTATTGTAAATAATACTGGTATAAACACAGAGGTAAATGTATCCCTTTGAAATAGTGGATTTTAAAATTTTTCGTCCTAATGTTTGTTTATTTTTAGGAGAGAACAAGCATGAGTGGGGGAGGGGCAGAGAGAGGGAGGCAAAGGATCCAAAGTGGGCTCTGCACTGACAGAGAGCCCGATGTGGGACACAAACTCATGAACCATGAGATCGTGACCTGAGCCAAAGTTGGACGCTCGATGGACTGAGCCACCCAGGTGCCCCTGAATTTGCATTTTTGTATTTTGGGGTAAATAACCAGTTTGCATTCCCACCAACAGTGCACAAGGCTTCCCTTTCCTCTACATCCTCATCAACACTTGTTGTTTCTTGTGTTTTGATTTTAGTCATTCTGACAAGTATGAGGTGATATCTCACTGTTGTTTTGATTTCCATTTCCCTGAGGATGAGTGACATTCAGCATCTTTTCATGTGTCTGTTAGCCATCTGGAGATCTTCTTTAGACAAATGTCTGTTCATGTCTTCTGCCCATTTTTTAATTGGATCATTTGTTTTTTGGGGTGTTAAGTTGTATCAGTTCTTTATATTTTGGATATGTCATTTGCAAATACCTTCTTGTATTCAGTAGGTTGCCTTTTAGTTTTGATGACTGTTTCTTTTGCTGTGCAGAAGCTTTTTATTTTGATGTAGTCCCAACAGTTCATGTCTTTTATTTCCCTTGCCTCCGGAGACATATCTAGAAAAATGCTGCTCTGGCCAATGTCAGAAAAATTATTGCCTGTGCTCTCTTCTAGGATTCAATGAAAACCCCAGTATTCTTAAAAGTCCAGCAATCTTTCCATTAAACTATAACCACAATTCCTATCTATATGGTACCTTAATATAATCTAAACTATCCATTTTATTCTAGTAAAATGAAAAACAATTCTG